TACTGCCGTCGGATTTACTGCCGTCGGATTTACTGCCGTCGGATTTATTGGTGTCGAATTCACTGCCATTATATTTATTGCAGTAAGTAAGACTTATGGAATTAATTCCTTTGCTTCAACAGCCGTAATCAATATTTTAGAATCGTATTTCATACTACATTGCAACTCAATATCATCGAATTTTATATGCAAATCGAATCGTTTATATGAGAGAATTTCGCATTTTTTTTATTAGAATTATTTTATATTAACTATTTTCTTATATAATATTTGAAGAAAACAAAAGTCGATTGAAAAATAAAAATTTTGGAATATGTAGTCAATTATTAGCTTTATTCAATTTTTAAATATTGAAAGTAACGCAGACCGGCACCTTTTAAAAATGTTTTTGTATCAATCTGTGTTTTTTCTAATTTATCCCATAAACGATATAATGATTCTTCGGCTATACGAATAGTTTTTTTTCTTTTTGGTGGAGCTGCTCCTGCTTCATGTCTTTGTCGTTGATCTTGTGCAAGTAGTTGTTCATTTTTGAACAAATCAATAAATGCATAAATATCAGGATGTGGTCTTGTGGATCTTTTTTTCCATTTATTATGACGTCCTTCAATATAATTTATAGTACGCGGGTTGATATTTCGGTAATGATTATACATAGCTGGTGGAAAACTGCTGTTAATGCCATACGTTTTCTGTGATATTCCAGAAACATGTTAATTTGTTGTTGGTACGAGGATGTTATTGTTGATTCTAAATCTTCAATTGCTTGATTCATATCTTCAGGTGGTAGAAGTGCTACGGCAGCAAAGCTTCTGAACCAAATGCGTACATTTTCATCATTTTTAAAGGCTGCTCTTAGATTTACGTCGACAAATTTTCGAAACAGTGCTTGTCCATAATGAAATAGACAACCTTTCACCTATATGAGTGAAAGGTAGATAAATATATAAATCAATATTATAAAAATATTGTATGATGATTTGAAAAATTTTTTTTCAGCAAGTTTAAAAAAAAATGAATTGTTAACGAATAAGTTTGTGAAAAGCTTAATTTTAAATTTCTCTTCATCGCAGAAATGGAACCCGTCTAGTTTTTTCCAGAGTGGTATCAGGTTTGGTTAAAAAAAAAAGATCAAATAAGACCAGTCCGTATACCGATTTTACTAGTCTACTGGTAAAACCGGTATAAACTAGTAAAACACATGTATATCAGTAAAACCGGTTTATTCCTGTAAAAGTGGTCTATCAGCAAAAACTGACCTACCAGTAAAAACTGATGTGATCTGTCTACCGGTGGTAAAATGGACATTGATAATGCGCCAGTTTACGAGGAAAATCCGAGCTATCGATAAAATATCGAACTGAAGATAACAGGTTTAGAATTACAATGAAATCCTTTTGATAGTGTCTCTTGAGAGTTGTCTTCGTACCTTCATGCATAGTTGCTTAATGCTTTAATGTTCATAAGAACAGTCTCATTGAAAGATGTTCAGAGACTGTTTGTTAATCCAAATCGTATGTAATCAGAGGGATTATCCTTGGTGCTATTTGTTTTTTTTTATGTAGATACTATCATAAAGCAGAAAAGTGCAAGATATATACTGGGAAAAATCGGCTTCAAATGGGTTTAGACTGGTTGATGGAAAGTCTAGGCCGGTATGGGTTTCATCTCTGCTTTATTGTCTATTTCGTTTAGTTTTAGAATAGAATGTGTTTTAAAATATGAAACAATTTAAACTAACTTTTCATTTTTGAAAATTTGTGAAATCTGAAATTTTTTTTT